TTTCACTTTTGAGCCACAAATAAAAACTACTTGTTGTTGTTACTAGAACAGTGGAATAAAGATTTGACTAAAAAAGTTATTTTAACAATAGATTAGGTTACTTGTTTTGCAAAAGCACTTCCTTTCATTTCTCCCCTTCACCTACAAGTACCTCAATGTCTGCTTCTGTGAAATTGCGCTTCCTTGATCTGCCTTGATCTACGGTCGCCATGTCATTGGCGGAGCGCTGCAACAGCCGGTTTATGTATCTGCATGAGATCCACAAGGCACTTTGCATTGACTATTTATGGCAGTAAGTGGGCGTGGTGAGGGCGGCATGTGACTAAAATGCAGCTGAGAACCTTTCTAGATAGTTTCTGATTTATGAAGCGGAGATTGCGTGCAGCTGTGCGTACGCCATGTTTGACAGATCACAAACCTACTTGGCGTAAGTAATTTTTTTTTGCCGAGCTTAAGGACGGTCTTAGTAAGGATTCTACACAATGTTTGATAAATGAGACCCCTGGTCTTTAAAAGTTTTTTCTTAAGCTCTGTGTTGATTTTCCTCCATAATTGTTACAAGATTTTCTTAATTCCAGTCATCATATACCTCTGCCTTCCATCAGATCCCAGTTCATTCACAAGTCAGTTAATGGAAAAGTGCTCCATGTTTAGAAATAAATTAGATTAGCTTCACTAGTGAATGGAAACTCTATTAGTGATGCATTTTTGTGTCAAACTAGAGCTGAGCATCAGTGTGACTCAGATCCTCTGTGTTAACCCTGTAGCACGTTAACGCTGTACGGGTAATGGTCGTGATTCTTCAAAGGTGTTTGGCTAATGGCTTTAGCTCCAGTCCCATCCTTGATTTGTTCTGAGGGACCACAGGTGTTCCGTCATAGTAGATTATAGTTCCATCTGTCTGCCCTGTGTGTATAACAAAAGCATGTGTATGCCTTTATTATGTTGAACTAATAAGATAAGTGGGCGGCTTGATCGAACGAGTCTTAATCTCAGATACGTCCATGTAAAGAATGTGTGTTAGTGGCGTTTAGGGGTTGACTTTGGAGGCGGCTGTATAGGGAGCAGCTGATAAATGATTTCACACAGAGATGCTCCATAAATCCCATTCATAATTGTTTCCCTACTTGGTGTGCAGTCTTGCTCCACAAAGGGGTAAAGCCAAGGGTGCTTTAAATGTCAGGGGAGCGCTGGTGCAGATGAATTACCTTTTAAAGATATCAGAGTGAAGCGCGTTTCAGGTGAAAGATGAGGCCGACCCAGCGCTCCTAGGCCCTGTCGGTATGTGTGAACACATCACTCCTCCCTCACCCTGCACCCCCCTCAGGGGAAATTTGTCTTTTTATCAACTGTCCAGAAAAGTCACAGCATATCCTAACTGAATAAATCAAAGAGAATTAGTTTGCAGTGTTTTCTTATCTCAGATGTGCCAGTTCCTCTACAGAGATCACCTGCAGATATGCATTCCTGCATGTGTGTGTGTGTGTGTGTGTGTGTGTGTGTGTGTGTGTGTGCGTGCCCTAACTGTGGAGGCAGCTCAAATATGATCGTTATTATTATTTTGGGCCAGTAGCGTAAATATAAATGTGTGTTTCTTCCAAAACTTCATTCAGTGTCACAGCGGTCCACATGACGTTGGGAGGCGGGATTAAGGAATCATGTCCTGATTCTAATTAGGTTATATACGTGTACAGGACTAAAGCGTAGTCAGGGTTGCTTTCATGCTAATGTTGCTGAGGGAGGTGTTAGTTCTGATCAGAGGGTGCAGGATGTTTTCTCGCCCTTGGCCTGTCTGGGTAAAGCTATCATAACAGAGCCAGTGCCTCTCCAGATAAGAGCAGCCAGGACTCTCTGCACACCGGCTCCTGCTGCAGCTGCCTGCTTTGATAGCTCATGCTTAAAGGATAACACTTTTTTTTTACACATTAATCAGATTCACTCTTTGACCATGGAGCATTGCACAGCCTAGATGAAATTGAAAAGTGTGGTGAGGGTCCCTGATCTCTGGTAAAACGTTAAACCTCTGGTCTCCCTGAGATGCTTTGAGTCACGGAAGTGAGCGCAACAAGTTTGGAAAGGAGCTGTCATGGATACTTTAAACCTCTCTACTCCATTAGTGTGCAGACCAAGACAAAAGCTATGAAAAGTTTCCTTTCATGCAATTTTCCTTCATTTGGAGCAATAACGGTTATAAAAAATGGTTAGCATTAATGTAAAAATAGTAATATTAAAGGAACATTTCATGTAAGGTGATAATATTTTCTTTTTTGTCAAACATCCCAACATATGTAGTTCAGGTAGATAAATATGAGCTAGCAGGTTGTTGACCTGCCACTTAATGGGCTGATTTTCTGCTCGTACTCAAAATCTCTCGTTTTTTTCTTCCCTCTGAATATTTAAACACAGTCTATGAGGAAAAAAGGCTTGTTTACACTCATTTTCAAATCCAGTGAAATTTGCCAAATTACACAAATGCATACATTTGAAATTGTTAGGGGTGTGTGTTGGCAAGAATCTGGTGATATGATATTTATTACAATTAATACACGATATGCTGCAACACTGAAAGCTAGATATTAGCAGTTTTTAAAGGTTTGGAACACTGAAAACCAAAAGATGTCCAAATATCATGAAATAAGACTCCAAAACCTGCTGTCTCAGCTGTGATGTGGGTCACTGCTAGTTCCTGGAAATGGTGCACTGGTATTTGCCGTGCCCCAAGAACAACTTACAAGGCAAATGTGTTGACTAAACGAGTGTCCCACACCTTTAAGACAACTTTTGAAGGGAAAAAAAACAGACCGGGCACTTTCAAGGAACATGTGGTTTCTGGTGATCTGAGTTCCTGCTCTATCAGAGAGAAGCTCTATTGTTACTATTACTATCTAAGGCAGAATGAATGATGCAAACATCGCGCATCGCTATTGCTGCATGGCGCTTTTATAAGACACACGTTGCTGCGATATATAGCTGATTTGCCGGCACAGTGAGTCATTATAAAAAGGCTATTGTGAGAAATCATTGTTGCTTCAGAATAAAGGTGGTAAAAACTGCTGCCACCTAGCAGTTGGAGTTTGAATGGCACCACACAAAATAAAAACTGTAAATATTTACATTTAAACTCTCAATAAAATATCAATGCACTAATTTTAAACATGGATTCAGTAACATAACGAGGCATATCGGGATATTTTAATGGATCGGTATTTTCTTACATCCCTAGAAATAGTTGTGTCAGAACAGAGAGTTAACGAGTCTCGCATATAAACCTTTAATCTCAAAATTCAGGAAAACAAAGCCAAAGGCACCAAACAATGAGCTTTTTCCCCTCAACCTAAATCATATATTGTTTCATAACGTTCATGGTTTTCTTTTTTCTTCTTCTTCTGCACTTGTGAGCAAGAAATTGCCTTTTTCCTGGCTGTGAAGCAGCCACTCACTCGTGTTAATTTTTGTGTTTCTTCCCATCAATCAACCCCCCACCCCAGATGGCTTTTTACATTTACACTCACTTGTAGCAGTGCCTCAATCCCCCTCCATCCCTCCTTTGTGTTGATGTCTATGAAATTTGAGGGAAAAACCTGCCAAGGAGCTCCCCTTGATGATGGCAGCAATTTGGCTTTCAAATACTTCTGTCCTCCAGACACTGTTTATACTGCTGCTGTTTGAGCTGTGTGTTTGTTATTGCGGGCCCTTTATTTTCCTCATCTTTTCTTTCTTTGCATTCATTAGCTTTTGCAGGGGGGCAGGGAGTAATACTAATTCTGTTTAGTTGATGTGGGCTGCAATCTCGGAAAGGCTTGGGCAGGATGAAACAATCAGTGGTATGATTTTAATTTTAGTTTAAATGTCTGACCTTAAAACGTAAACGAGGGAGAGCTAGTGGCACATTTGTTTGCGGTAGCTCGTCAAAAAGAGTGGAGTAGGAATGGAGAGCCTGGGAAAAGTGGATAATGATCGTTTATTTGTATGGAATTAAAACACGGGTCGGAGAAAAGCTGGACTCATCTATTCAGAGGCTTATCTAGCTTTGGTTGGCTGAGTAATTAAATCAGAGAAGCGAGTGAAGTTCTCTGCAGCTCAGCGCCTCGTCTTGTTTCCTCTTTAATCAGGTGGCTATTAAACCTCTGATTGCACTCCACGTCTTCTGACTTCAGCATAGTTATTAAACACAGATTGGAAGCATTTTCCTCTCTCTCTCCATCATATTGAATAGACTTGTACAATGTAAAAAAAAAGATTTATTCAGACCACAAGTAGAAGGGAAAAGAAAAAAAATATGTGCAAATACATTTTACAACAGATGAAAAAAGAAGGGAGTCTTGTTGATGCAGTTGTGGTTTGATTCTGTTTATTCTTGAACGCATGATAAACGATTCATTCTGCAGCTGTGCGTCTGTTTACCTCTGACATATGAGCTCCAAATGACCTTACGTCTTACCTTAAAGTACACACGTTTGTGTTTGTCCAAGCAGAACGGTCATATCTTCCACCACACACACACACACACGGATGTTTGCAGGAAGAAGCTAGTCTGCTATCAGAAATTCAGCCTGTTCCTCCACATGCTGCGACTGACATACCGTATGACCCTCCTTCAAGGTGATCTCCTCTGCGCGCTCCGCAGAGATCACACAGATTAGACTAATGCCATGCTCAGACGGCCACCGCCGGCCGGGCTGCCTGCATACATCCATCCTGATGTACTTAACTTACATCTGCTGGCACGAACAAGGTTGTTCAGCACAGAAAGTCAACTTTTGCCTCTTTCATAGAGAAGAAAACCAGATACTTTTGTATTTAGCATTCTTTTAAACTCTGTTAATTTAATCAGATCAAGAGAAAAGATGAAAAAGACACGGTTGTATTCTTTACTTTGAATCACCTGGTAGTTGTTTCTGTCCAGCCATATGCCACATCATTTCTCCGTTTCTTGTCATTTTTAAAATCCTGCTTCAGTTTCCTTTTGTGGTCAAGTGTCTCTCTTCGTTTTCCTTCAGCTCCTGTCATCCTAAACGAACTAAACTGGACCCAAGCTTTGGAGAGGGTCTTTATCGAGAACCGGCGTGAGGACAGCTCTCTGCGCTGGCAGGTGTTTGGCAGTGCCACAGGAGTGACGCGATATTACCCAGGTAGGCTGAAGGCTCAGAGTCAGCAGCTGAGATAAAGTCTAAATTGACCCCGTGGGGTCATCAGCTGCAGCCTCTTATCGCTTTGCCGTTCTCACACCTCAAATGACAGAATGAAGTTATGATTACTTTGATCAGATCTGACAGTGGACTTTAACTTTTTCTTATATTTCTTTTTTTTTTTTTTTTTTTTTTTGGGCTCTCTCCAGCGACTCCATGGAGGCCGCCCAATAAGATTGACCTTTATGATGTCCGCAGAAGACCATGGTAAGAGTCTCTGGCTTTTCTTTTCTTTTCTTTTGCTGGTTTAACTGCATTTAGTTTTTTTACAAACAGAAGCCATGTTATGATAAACGAGCTAAGGCAAGGCAAGACAGCTTTATTTGTATAGGACATTTCTTACTCAGAAGCAATTCAATGTGCTTTAAAAATCAAATTAAATACACAAACACAAAAAGATGTCAGAATAAGATAAAAAAAGTAAAGTTAAATGGTGAGCAGTTACAGGGCAGAAGGTGGAACGTAAGAAAGGTAAGAAAGTCATTCAAAGCTGATGAAAACATGAATATAGAGTCGGGGTGTGTCTGAGGTCATCAGGAAGCTGATTCCGTCTGTGTGCAACAGTGATAACATGTGCTAGCATGCTAATTAGCTGTGGATGAGTATCAGAACCACATGGAAGTCATCCCACCCCATTTAAAACCCAAACCACGTCTGGACCAAAGACCCATCTCTGTTTTCCTTCAGAACATTTTACTTGTCATTTAACTTGCTGTTTCTGAATGGTGGCTTACTTCTTTGAAGTCACAGCATCTGTTTTTGAGGATTCAAGGGAGAGTGAGCCGTGATGCATTCAAAGTGTGTAGGAAAATAAGGCTCTGTAATAAAATGTCGATAGATGAATGTTTAGTGTTAAAATCTATATTTGAAAGCGCTAAATTAATTTACGGGTCCACATGAGGAACACGTATCAATGCATAAAGTGTAGTCTTCCATCAATGATCCTAACACAGCAGGTTCTGTTTCTGTCAGTATGTTTGCCAAGATGTTTAAAATACTTAAAGTGATCATTTAATTCACTCAACTCCTGCTAACTTTTATTTAAATGTCAGAGCTGTTTATAGTTTGGTGCTTGATAACGTTTGACTGTAATGTAGCAGCCAATCCACACAGATTACTGTTTATAATGAGGCTATATGTCAGAATTATTTTCCATCCTGTTACGAAAATGTCAGTTTGTTGTCGTTGTCCTGATTAGTGTCTGATGAGTATCTGTTGTGCAATTAGTCAGGGAAGACAAATTAATCCAAACATCAGCGCTAGTGGCAGAGTGAAAAGTGTTATAAACAGCAGAAGTTTGACTTGTTTCAACACAGAGGTTGCCGAAGCACTGTCCTGCTATCTCCAAGCTGAGTGAAACTGTGATCTGTTCTGGATCTAAACACTGTCAGCCTGCTGTACATTTTAGGACATCTTCAAGTCTCAGGAAAACATTTTGAGACTTCAGACAACAGAGACAAAAGCATCAGATTTCATCCAAAAACCTATCAGACTTCCATTTGTTACAAACATATCCCAAAGGATTGTGGACAAGTATTGCCCACTTAGGAACAGAGGACAAGCAAAGCTTCTTCAACCACGTCTTCTGACAGCCAAATTGTTTTCCAATGACATCATCAACGAAGATGTGCTAAGATGAACCTATGGACATCAGATTTTAATGAAAATGTTTTTGAGTTGATTTAAAGACTTGTTTGTTTAAAATAATTAAAGATCATTTCCTCTTTATAATCAGGCTGATATGAGCTCCAAATGACCTTACGGGTCCACATGAGGAACTCGTATCAATGCATAAGGTGTATATATTGTTGTAACCATGTTGGTGCATTTGCATTATTAACCTGGATTTTGTTTTATCTTTCCAACCTAAAATCAGGTTACACATTAGAAGCTGTGTGAAGAAAGCAAAATGCACGAAAAAGTATTTCATTGCAGTATTCCTTTAGTCTAGAAGTCTATATAGACAGTTGTAGGAGTAGCATGCGTAATTATTTGGGTGCTTTTAAAGCTTGAGATACTACACCACACTTTGACCAATATGATGTGAATTTTGATATAAATATGGAAATCCAGTCTGGTTGGTCTTTGAATGTTTAACCAGAAGATCTAGAAATCTTTGTTTATTCAGGGATTGTCAGACACTTCATATTAATTCAAGAAGAGAGTCAAATTTATAAAAAGTAAGAAATTTATTTTCAACACAATTAAAACATGACAACTAAGACACTTTATGTGATGAATTAATCTAAGTGGATGGAATGTGAGGTGTGATGATGTGTGAATGTGATGTTATCAGAACCTTCGTATCTGGAGAAAGTGAGTTCTGAGTGGGAGTGAATTTGGTTTGCTATAACTATAGTGATAGTTTATAAAACCACATCAGACGCAATCTGTCGAGTCTACGTACCACCTCAAAGACCCCCGTGGTAAATCCGGAATGTGTTGAGGTCCGGGGACCCCAGAGGTACCGAAGTCCGTAGAAGAAACTGCAGTGTCGACTAGACCGGTCTCGAGATGTCTCCAGGTCACAACAGTTGTTGTTTGCATCTTAAGAAGGACTCTTAAGAAGTTGAAGTTGGTTCAGCTTTGCTCTGAAGGAACCGTTTGCGGTCAGCTGTAGCGTGCAACAGGTTTTTGACAGCTTGTCAAAAGATGCTTTGGGTTAAAGAGGTTTTGCTCCGGATGGCCGGTCCGAAACTTTCCAAAAAACTGACAAGAACTGACTCACGGTGAAGTGAGTCCTGTTTTAATAATCGTCATAATTTAGAATAGAATAGAATAGAATAGACTTTATCGTAATTGCTCATGGCAATTAAATTACAGATGGTCCGCCATCAACAGTGCACAAGACAATAAATAACAATAAATGTCAAAACCATAGAGGACTAAAAACAATTTAAAAACATTTAGCACACACCAAGAAAATGCAACCAGTGATTCGGATCTGCTAAAACAACAATTTAAAAGGATTTAAAACAGATTAGTCCACATTACTGATGGGGATGTGGGGGGTTGAATGGTGCTGTTGTGTTGAATGTTCTGATGGTCCAAGGGAAGAAGCTGTTGGAAAGTCTGGTGGTATGTGGTTTAACTGACCTGAAGCGGCGCCCTGAGGGCAACAGGTCAAACAGGCAGTGGGCAGGGTGGGTGGGGTCATGGAGGATAGCAGCGGTTCTCTTCAGGCAGCGGGTTCTGGAGATGGCCTCAAGAGAAGGCAGGGTGCAGCCAATACTCCTCTGGGCAGTGTTTATTGTCCTCTGAACAGCCTTCCTGTCCTCAGCAGTGGAGCCTGCATACCACACACTCAGAGAGTAGGTGAAGGTGCTCTCCACAGAGCAATGGTAGAAAGCCAGCAGCAGTTTCTGATCCAGGCCACACCTTCTCAAGACCCGGAGAAGTTGCAGCCGCTGCTGAGCCTTTTTAACCAGAGCTCTGGTGTTGGCAGACCATGACAGGTCAGCAGAGATGATGGTGCCAAGGAACCTGATAGAGGGGACACAGTCCACACGCTCTCCATTTATGAGGAGAGGGGCGTATGTGTGACTGTGTCTTCTGAAATCCAGAATGAGCTCTTTTGTTTTTTGTATATTCAGAGTGAGGTTGTTATCTGAGCACCACCTTGACAGATTTCTGACCTCTGCCCAGTACGCTGCCTCATCTCCGTCTGTGATGAGGCCGACCACAGTGGTGTCATCAACAAACTTAAAGATGGCAGTAGATGGGTGGGATGCGGTACAGTCCGATGTGTACAGAGTGTACAGAAGGGGGCTCAGCACACAGCCCTGAGGAGAGCCAGTACTGAGCAGGATGGAGGAGGAGAGATGGGAGCCAAGTTTAACATGCTGTGGTCGATTTGTGAGAAAGTCTTTTATCCAGTGGCAGGTGGAGGGAGGGATCTGAAGGCTCAGCAGTTTTGAGATAAAAATGTCTGGGATGATGATATTGAAAGCTAAACTGACGTCAACAAAGAGCATCCTGACGTAGCTTCCTCTGGTCTCTAGGTGGCTCAGTGATGTTTGTAGCGTCATGGCGATGGCATCCTCTGTTGATCTGTTTCCGCGGTAGGCAAACTCAAGGAGGTGGAAGGAGGTGGGGAGACAGGTTTGGATGTGGTTGGAGATAAGTCGTTCCAGACACTTTGCGATTACAGGTGTCAGGGCAACCGGTCGATAGTCATTTAAGCTGTCTATGGAAGATTGCAAAATCAGAATTTGACATGTAAAAAGGGTTTTACCAACAAACCTCAGAAAACATGCCTTGCGTCAGATACAGGAGTTCTGATTGGTGGAACCGAAAGCACTGTGTCATGATATTAGTTTAACCTTGTCATTGTCACGTGTCTGAGTGTGTGAGCTGTCAGTAGTGATTCTCCTGTTAAATCTAACTTTACTGATCATAACATAATAATATTCATTTCAACCACAGTAATTTAAGCACAGATCAATCATAACATTGTTATTATTCTTCAACCAGTATTGTTCATTCAACCATATGATTATTTGCTTATCTTGTTCCTTTTATGATTTAATTATGAAAGTTCATCCGTCTTGTGGTGTGAAGCGAAGCAGTCTGACCCCTCCTTTCTACCGGAGCCGTGACGGAGCCGTCAGCAGCACGTTACTGCAGCAGCACGTCATAGCTGCTGATAAGAACTCCTGTGGTCAACAGAACCTTTTCCACCGTAGCCGTCAGCAGCGCGAGTCAGCCGCATCTCAGGAGCAGCATGTCGCGGCCCTTACGCGTCGGTTCTATTTTCTACGCGCTACGCCTCTGAAACAAGTGAAGTTTGTCATTTTGGGGGAAGGAAAGACAGGAAATCAGACGCGGAAACGGAGCGAAGCTTCCCGAGATTTTCAGAATAAAGAAACGTACTGCCTTCCGGTTGCTTTACTTTATAAAAGTTACTAACTGTGCAGCCCCGTGAGAAGTTATCACCTAGCTAGCCTGTCTCCTTTGTTTTTCAGGTCCGTATTGGCGATTATAAAATGGACAGAACATAAAACACAAACCTTTTGGAGCCATGTTGTAGTTTTCTCCTGCTTGTTGTTGTGTTTACTGACGAAGTAACTCGTGTGACCTCGTGCTCTGTCGGTGACAGCTGCTCCCCTGCTGCTACGCATCTCTGGTGGGAAGGGCCAAGCAGCAGCTTACGCAAGCAAGACGTGCTGCTGCAGTAACGTGCTGCTGACGGCTCCGGTGGAAAGGAG